ACACTATAATTACAACAAACACATTTTGCATCAATACATTTCTTTGTTGTTTAATAGACAAATAATAATCAATGGTTGCAACACTCTGTGCTGATGTAACAACGAATATGTGTCCAGAGATAGTGTCCAATCTTGTCTAATTACTATACTCCACTTTTCACCTCCACGTTAAGTGCGTCCTCTTCCTCTCTTAGTCTCTTTATCTCATATTACCACCACTCTGCCATCCTTAAAGTCCATTTCTACCTTTGTAAGTGATTAGCATTTATTATGGTGATGTAGAGGTGCAGTGAAGGTGTATACATGTACACATTTTCATGACTCACATTGCAGGCTTTCAGTAGCTTTTTATGGAGGTGTTATTAGGCCTGATGCCTAAAAATTCAAAATTTTCTCCACAGGAAATTCAGTATGACACCAGGATGTCAGACTGTAAACAGCTGCCACATTCCCTGTCACACATTGTAACACAATCACTAGACTCCAGCTCTGCCTTTGCACACAGTACACTGCCTGGGGAAAGGGGGGAGGGGTATACACACATTGCTTGCACAGCACAGAGGCAGCCATTTCCATTAGGATATGAAGAGGAAAGCTAACTAAAAATTTACGTTTCTGTGTTAATATACATCAACTGCATATGCCTGCCTCATGTACACTCAGTGTGCATTTCTGTCATATGCTTTTTAAAAATAGCTCCACAAAGGTGGACATTAGCTTTAAAAAGAACCCAGAGTGGGTGCACAGTAGACATGTGCGATTCGGTTCGTTACGAAATTCGTTCGGTCTGGTAGGAATTTTAAAGGGGAACCCCAGCCCCAAAAATGGGGGGGAAAAACGTGTCCTACCTGACCCTTGATCCGAGCACAGGCCCGGCAGGGCAGGAAAGGGGGGGGGCGATCATGCGCCCCCCCTCCCTGCGCCTTACCAGGCCACGTGCCCTCGGCATTGGGAGGGTGTCCCCATGCCGATGGGGACAAGGGCCTCTTCCCCACAACCCTGACCCGGTGGTTGTGGGGGTCTGCGGGCAAGGGGGCTTATTTGCATCGGGGTACCCCTTTAAATAAGGGGGCACCCAGATGCCGCCCCCCCCCATGTGAATGAGTAAGGGGTACTTGTACCCCTACCCATTCACTAAAGGGTTAAATCAAATAGTTAGTAAAAAGTCCAGACTTTTGACAAAATCCTTTAATTGAAAAAAAAACAAACAGTCAATTTTTGACTATTCCTTTAATAAAAAAATGGAAAAAAAAATGGCTCCATCGATGTAATCCAGAGTCAGGATCAGGATGCAGGACCCCCGCCGACCCGCCGAAATAAAAAAAGTCCCGCCGCAGACAACCACCCGAATCTGACGAAATCTAACAAAAATGACATTCAGTTTGAAAGTCAACAGATGCCATTGACACAGTTCATCACTTGCTCCTCCTCAAAAAACTCCACTCCATTAGTCTCCCAAACCCTGCTCTTTCCTCGTTCTTCTTCTACATATCTCACCTGCAGTGTCACATACAACTCTAAATTCTCTTCTCCACCTTATCTTTCATTAGGGGTCACCCAAGGCCCTGTTCTTGAGCCCCTTCTATTTGCCATCTACACCTACTTCCTGGGCCAGTTAATAACTGTCCACAGCTTCCAATGCCATCTCAATGCTAACAACATCCAAGTCTATCTCTACTACTCAGCTCACCTTTTTCTGTCTTCTCACATGTCACTAATTTACTAATTTACATATTAACATGGATGCCACATCACTTCCTCAAACTCAATCTCTCCAAAAATTAGCTCAGAATATATTCTCTCCCCCATTTCGCCTCCCCCAACCTCTCAATCACAATCAACAGCACAACACCCAACCCATCCCTTCAGGCCAGGGTGCTTGGTGTAATGCTTGATTCCGACTTCTACTTTTGTCCCCATATCTGAATACTTCACAAATCTTGCCGCCTTTCCCGCCACAACATTTTCAAAATGATTTCTTCCTCCTTAACAAATGATGGCACAAAGCTTCAAATTCTTGAAATAATTGAGGGGAGAGATGATTAAAACTCCTTTGTCATTGGCTTTCCTTTACCCAGGCTATCCCCTTTCAGTCTATCATCAATGCTGCTGTCAGAACTTTTTACTTTGGTTGCCGCCGCTCTTCTCTGCTAATCAATCCACTGGCTCCCACTCTTCCAATTCAAAATACTAACCATAACATACAAAGCCATCCACATCTCTGCCCAAAGCTACATTACCAACCTGATCTAAATATATCACCCAAACTGCCCTCCCCTCTCCTCACAAAGCTTTGCTTTCTAGTATCCTCATCACCTCCTCCCATGCTCACCTCCAGGACTCCTCCAGAGCCTCTCCCATGCTCTGGCAATCCTAGAAAACTTATCTCTTAAGGGAAGCTAATCCCTCCTCCACCTAAAACGTGTGCTTTTATTTTGTCCATCAGCTTATCCCTCACAATTAATGCCTACTGTACCACTGCCCCCTCTTAGATTGTAAGCTATCAGAAGTAGGGTCCTTCTAACCCTCTTGTCATGAATTGTATTGTAACTGTACTATCTCCCTTTATTTTTTAAAAGATAGGTAGCGTGTCATAGGCCTAAGTATGTAGGGGTTGAAAATAACATCATTTTAAAATTTCACCTAAGTACCTAATATTTTGAGCTTGTTGTCAGAAGGAATGAGCAGCGTAATGACCTCATAAGTCAGCGTAATGACCTCATAAGTTCATTCATGGTCCAATCTGCATTGTGGAGGAAGGACAGTGACCTGGCTGTATTGCTTAACTGCAATGAAGGAAAGAGAGGTCTCCAACCTAGCTTTGCAGTGTGTCAGGGATTTGTGAATCACAAAACAATTGATATATATATTACAGTGGTGCTATTTGCGTGCAGTTCAGTTTTAAAACATGGGAATCTGCCCAGTTGATTTATGTAGCAAATATTTGAATGCAAATAGGCAGCATATTACACAACTAATTGCTGAAGCACTTGACCATTTTACAAACTCTAAATACCTTTAAATCATTGCTTTTAGTACTCTCTGTACTTTCATACTTTAATGCTACATAGAAAATCTTTCAAAACATCCAAGAACAGAATTTACGTCAAGTGTTTGCTCATTGATGATGCAGTTTATCCTAAGAGCATTAAACTCAAGTGTACACAAATACGGTACATACTCTTAATTGCTATTAATTTAAATGACTCTTCTCAATAGAGTACTGTACTCTTTATGTATATTTGCTTAATATTTTCAGTTGCTCAGAAGGTCTTATCATTGAAGAGACAGCAACAGCTACTATCATGCAAGTCATTACCCAGTTCTCCAAGTCATTCTGGTGGTTCCACTCCATTATCAGTGCAGGTATTTATATATATCTATCCAGCTTTTTTGATGATGTTGATGTGGATAATTAACTATATAAACATTACAAAGTGGCATATAACACAGCAAAGCCTTTATTAACATTGTAGCTGTGGACCCCTTGTCCCTGGGCATATCAGCTGCCTGGGCAGATATGACTGATTGGCTATAGTTGTCTTTATAACTTACCTCTGGCAAACAATAGGTTGCTTTGGCATATCTGAATCCATCTGTGATACTACAGTGTGGTAAATGATATATAGATATGTCACAGAGAAAGTTAGAGAGATATACTCTCTTTAGGAAAATTTAATTCAAAAGTCTGACTCAGCCAATGAATGAATACAGAGCATGCACTGTGAAAGGTATGTCCTCTGTCCATACTGAGAAACCCTGCACCCTGTGCTCTAGCCCTCTTTGAAAGTGATGTTCAGAGTTTAAAATAATGGACTGTATCTGGCTAACCTAAGCAGACCCTACTGTTTCATCAACTCCAATAATTCTATTTCATTATAACTTTCCCGTCTTTAAATAGTATTGTCTAATTGCAATAGTAGGGGTGAGTGTCTTTATCTGGGGTTTCTTGAAAATGGAACAGTAATAATTCTGTCATAAACGTAAATTATAGACCCCTATACAGGTTTTGTCTGTTAAGATATATAATTATATAATCTGTAATTGCTCTGCAGACTAGCAATGGAGGACCAGGAAATGATTACTCTTCGTCATTACCTTCAACCCCGAACATCAGTCACAGAGAGCTGCGCAGCGAGGTGTCCATCGCAGTTAGCACACCGGGCCCACTACATCGTGGAGCTAAACGTCGTACAAGCCTTTTCCCAGTAAGTAAATTAATTTGTAATATTCCACTTCATTCATAAGCTTTAAAGCCTATCTCTGGGGGAAACAAAAACTACACGCAGTGGGGCTACCCTTTCACTGCAAGGGTTACCTGATCATGTTTGTCTAGGGGATCTGGACTTTTACTTACCTGTTACCCACTCCCCTGGCATTCGGTGCTCATCTCTCTCCCTCTGGACTGCCCCTCATGTATAATGCACAGCTATGGGCCCTGCATTAAACATGATGACATCAGTGGGCCTCTGACTGCCGAAGCGCAGGGGGGAAAAAGACTGTGGATACCAGTCATGGAGCCTGCGGGAGCAGGGATAAGGTAGCTCTTTAAGTAATAGCTCTTTATACCAGGGCTCAAACTTTCCACTCGCCTGCTCGCATTTGGCGAGTGTAAATGCAGTGCAGGCAAGTGGAAATTCAGTCAGGCTTGCGGTCATGGACCGAAATCCTGACTTGTAGGAGCAGCTGCTCCTGGCTGGGCTCTCTGTTCTTTCAAACAGTAGAAAGGCATCATGGCACACTCACAAACCAGCATGTAAAACAACTTGTCTCCCCACTAAGGATAATAACAGAGGTTTTGATACACGTCTTCTGCAGAGGATGTGAAAGCCGCACTGCCGCTAAGGCACCTCTTATAGTGTTGAGTGCCTTTGTCGTTTGTTTTGCTTGACCGATTTGTTGCAGCGACGCATGGGGTTTCTCAGCTGCCATTGGGATGTGCGGGATCCCTTGTGTGTTTCTGTGCTTTTAAGGAGGCTGGGCTTCCTCCTGACAAACCTGCACCCAATTTGAAATCTTATGCCCCCATGTGCTCCAAGATGGAGACTCTCATAGTTTAGAGTTAGGACCGCACTATAAGAGGTGCGCGGCTGTGCGGCTTTCACATCCTCTGCAGAAGACGTGTATCCAAACCTCTTTTATTATCCTTAGTGGTGAGACAAGTTGTTTTACATGCTGGTTTGTGAGTGTGCCATGATACCTTTCTACTGTTCTACTGTTCAAAGCCGATTTTGTGTGCACCTTACTGTATAGCTGGTGACAAATTGTTGAGTGCGTTTGTAGTTTGTTTTGCTCTCTGTTCTTTCAGCCGCAGCTCTTCATTGAGCTCCGGCCGAAAACAAAGTGATTAGTAAGGCCTGCAGCAGACCTTACTACTAATCACCACCTCCCTGCAGAAAGGCAAGCAGGTGAGGGGGCTTCATTGTTTTATTTCATATGTGGGGGCAGAGAACAGAGGGGG